AGAGCGAAACTCCGTCTCAAAAAAAAAAAAAAAAAAAAAAAAAAGTTGGATTTTTGTTGTGATTTTTAGTTAACCCTGAAATATAACTCTTAAGTCAAAGCAGTATAACTGGAAAAAATATCCTAGGGGGTAGGAAATTACAGAAAAATCTTTATCTCACAAATAGGCAATGCATACCTAAATTCAGTATGTCATTAATATCCTCTGAATGAGAATTCAATGAGCTATAGTGCTTATTTTCTTATTCACGCAAATATTCTTTTAACATTCTCCTCCCTAGTTTTGCTTGATTACCTCACAATTCCTTTAAGAGAATTCGTGCTGTTAGAGAAAGAATACTTACCAAGAAATATGAAATCGTAGGTTCCAGTCCCAGATCTACTTCAGCTGTGAAACTTCGGCAAGGCTGCATTCCTCCACAGCTGTTAAAAGAGGGGGCTGAAGTAGATCATCTAGCTGGTATTACTAGGAGTTCTTCAAATGTATTCTTTAAATTTTATTTTTAAAAAATTAAATTTTTAAACTGAAAAACACATTCATTTGATTTGCACAGCAGATTGTAACACACTGAAGTCTACTTATCTACCAAGATCATTTTTGTACATACTTCAAATTAAAGCTTTTTTTGCTATCTCCATTGAAGAATATCCTAAAATGTCAGGGTAAATTGTTTTTTTAAAAACCCCAAAAGCAAATGTGTTTATAGTTACATCTACCTACCTATGTAAGGATTTTCTCAACATATATGACAAACAACATATAGACACAAAGTGAATATTAACACATGTAAGACTGCAACTGTCATGCATAAACACAAATGCTTGGATTTATCAGAATAGCCTTATTCTCATAGGTTACCTTAAAATGAGTTAGCAATACCTTTTAACCCGATACAATATTTTAACAGTGTCAGTTTATCTTTATTGTTAGGTTTCCACATAAGACTTCCTTTGTTGGGAGGACAGTTTGCCTCTAAAGCAGTTTGAAAACAGGAACAAATCTCTCAAGCCCCGTTCAGCCTTCTAAAATGGATTCTGGTCTCCTTCACTCAGTTTGAGGCCTACAAGATTATGTTAATCATGGTTCATGAGTTAGCACCAGCATTAAATCTGTATCAAAGTGAAGTTAAGCACATATAGTGATTGCTTCTTAATTATGTAATTCAACTTAAAACATATATATAAAATAACTGAAATTTATGTCAGGTATCTATATAAATATAAAATATGTATGTGAGTTTCTTCTTTTAATAAACATACCAAAGCTTTATTTTAATGAATGTTACTCCTTTCAAGATTTGACTATCTTCAGAAGCAGTAGTGAATGCCAGTGGTGCAATCACAGCTACAGACACTTCTGAAAGTACTCTTTTGAAATTTTCTTCAAAACTAGCATGCTTTTTTGTGATGTGTTCTCATGGAGCCAAATTTTTATATTTGTGAGTGAATTAGATTGATTTTTTTTTTAAAGCTGGTAACCCAAGTGAAACTTTCATAAATAAGGTAGATTATCTGACAGTCTTAATTTTTTTAATGTAGTACTCAACTAAAGTTTTTTTCAAGCCTGGTATCTTTGTAGTCTTCTCAACCAATTTGTGCTTTGTATTTCAGCCCTCATATGCCTCTTGGTTAGAGAGAAAGCAGGTCCCAAAGATTTCTAAAAATATCTTGAGTAATGGCAGGTGTATTAGAGAAAGGATATTGCCTGTCATTGTTTGAGACTGCATTTTATATCAAGCCTGTTTGCTTATTATCATAGTTATGAGCTCTTTGACATGGTATTTTGGAAAGTACTTGGCAGGACAATATGGCACCTCAGGTTCCTTTTTTGAGCTCATCTATCTAGTTCCTCTATTGTTTAATTACAAGCTTTGTAGCTAGTGTTTTTTTTTTTTTTTTTTTCCTTTTTCCCCAATTGTACCTATTTCTACTGTATTGTGCGTGATGTATGTTTCTCTGGGGAAATCATGATACATAATTCTTATTTATAAGGTTTTTTTGTTACTGGTTTTAATGGAATATGTGTCACAAGTTTCAAGAAGCTTGTTCCCAAATAGACTTTTGGAACATAATTAATTTTAAATGGGGCATGGCATCTATTATTTTTTGTTTTGCACTTCTCAGAAGTGACCATCTTTTATTGAATGTGCTAATATATTTTTTTGTTGTTGTTTGAAGTAACGAATGAATATAATGAATCACTGCTCTACAGTCCGGAAGAACCAAAAATACTTTTCAGTATTCGAGAACCAATAGCAAATAGAGTTTTCTCAAGCAGTCGTCAGCGTTGTTTCTCCTCAAAGTAAGCATCCTCGGTCTGACTTGTGACTGTTTTCATCCCTTTCATTGCTACTAAGCACACTTGGCTTGAAAAATATTTAATTTCATTAAATTTTCTCGTTCAAACTTAATCTAGCAGGAAAAGTAGAACCTGTGAAAGTAACAAGGTATCATGCTAACCTGGCTAAAATCATATTTTCTTTTACACTTATTGTGCCAATTTAGAGAAGCTAAAACTTAAGTGACTATAAAAGGGTACAGTTATTTCAGTGATTTGTTGTTTTTTTAAAAAATGAACCAAGATACAATAATTGTGAAAGAAGCTGAAGGGGCTGTAAAAGAGCCATTTCTTTTTCATAAGCTGTATGTAAAAACAGGATAAACACAGATAGAAAACTTAGATTGCATAGCAATACACGTTTAGAATAATATTTATTTCTTTTAGGTTTTCCCTAAAAGTGACCTCCCACCTATTGAATTGAATTTGTTTCATTTTACTTTTGAGGAGACAGGATATAAAAAAATGGATATAATTCTTATTTTGTAAAGGTTCCCCAATTTTCCAAATTAACAAGAAAATCTGTAATTCCGAGAAAATGCCATCTCTCTCATGGCAAGGAGAAAACAGTTTGAGCAATTAGAAATTGCTGACCTTAGTGTACTTGTTTTCTTTTTATAAACATACATTTTTCCCCAGGTTTGTCACAAATGAGGAACTTTATCTTAAAATTCATGTTATCATTTGAGAGTTAATTTTGATTAATCCATAGATGTATATTCAGTTTAAGTGAGACTACAAAGACTCCTCCAAAGATATATACTATTTATAGTTAAATTTTTGCGGCTGGGCACAGTGGCTTACACCTGTAATCCCAACACTTTGGGAGGCCAAGGCAGGTGGATCACGAGGTCAGGAAATCGAGACTGTCCTGGCCAACATGGCAAAACCCTGTCTCTACTAAAAATAAAAAAAAAAAATTAGCTCGGCATGGTGGTGCACACCTGTATCCCGCCTACTCAGGAGGCTGAGGCAGGAGAATTGCTTGAACTCAGGAGGTGAAGATTGCAGTGAGCCGAGATAGCACCACTGCACTACAGCCTGGGCAAATAAAAAGCACTATAACAACAAAAGATTGACATATTGAACTACACTAGAATTAAGAACTGCCAGTAATCAAAAGATACCATTAAGGAGAAAAAAAAAAAAAAAGGCAGAGTGAGAAAGATATTTTCAGGACCTATATCTAGCAGTGGGCTCATAGCCAGAATATTTAGCATATGAAAATTCCTACTGACAATAAGAAAAAGGCAGGCAACATGTTAGAAAAATGGCCAATGTCAGGTATTTCACAAAAGGTGATATTCAGATGGCTAATAAACATATGAAAAAGATGATTGACCTTATGCTTCATCTGAGAAATGCTAATTAAAACTACATAATACCATGCCATATACACCCACAAGAATGGCTAGGGTACCAATTGTTGGCAAGGAGGAGTGAATACAACTTTCATATAATTTTCCTTAGGAATATATAGCTTGGAAAATTGTTTGGCAATTACCTAGCAAACCTCAACATAGCATACACGGTGACCTGCTAATTCCCCTTTGAGATATATATCCAACAGAAATGTATGCACCAACAGAAAGATGTGCACAAAGACATTCAAGAATATTCATAGCAGCTCTACTGCCAATAGCCAAAAAATCCAAATGTCCATGAATAGTAGGAGAGACATAAATTTTGGTGTTTTCATACAATAGAAGTGTTTACATACAGCATTAAAAATGAACACACTACACTACTACTACTACATGTAATAACATGGATGAATTTCACAAAGTACTATTGAGCAAAATAAGACAGACACCACTGTGCATATTATATTCTTCCATTTATATAAAGGCCAAGAACAGACAAAGCTATTACTATAACAGTGATAGAAATTAGGAAGCTATTACTACAAAGTGATAGAAATTAGAAGAGTATGCTGGAGGAGGGAGCAGGGATAGAGACTGGGAGAGGGCAGTGAGGGAACTTCCAGCAAGCTGGGTAACAGTTGATTCCTGAGTTGGGTGATCATTACATAAGTGTGTTCATTGAACTGTACATTAATAATTTGAGTTTATACCTGTACACATAATTACATATACCCAACTCTTCTGTATATGTGTATACTTAAGTAAAAATTTTACATGAAAATAGTTAACACTCTTGTTCAATACTTAAAATATTTGTAATGTTAGTAATTCAACATTCAATCATATGAACATTTACATTTCGAGATCTTCATAATATACCTGTATTTACACAGTCACTAATTTTCTCATACCAGAGAACAACTTTTTAAAATGGAAGCCAAATGATCTACTAGGTTAGGTTAAAATTCAGGATTAAAATAATCTATTACTTAAGATTAAGAAAACGATTACTTTTTAATGAGATATTTCCTTCTACCTAGGGTTTGTGTCCGTTCTCGTTGTTGGGACGCCTGTATGGTTGTGGATGGAGGAACTTCTTTTGAGTTTAATGATGGTGCAATTGCTTCAATGATGATCAATAAAGAAGATGAGCTTCGAACTGTGCTTCTAGAACAGTGAAGGATTTCCTCATGACAGATGATTACTGGAGAAAATATTTTTACTTCAGAAACAGACTGCCAATCATAAAGTGACTTTTTTTGGTTATTGTTGAGACTGCTTGCCTGTGGGCTCAGAAGTGAGATTTGCATTATTCTGTTGAATTCTGATAGAAAAAAGACATTCACGGTATAAGAAAATGGATGGACTGAACTAATTAGAATTGATACCAGTGAAATTTTTATATTGCTTATAGTTGGTAACCAAGAGTACTGATACCTTTTTAAATTTAGAGGGCCAGGCTTAAATAAAGGACTAAATATTTAGGATTTGAAATTTACCTGTATAAGTGTTTTTTCCTTCCTTTCCTCCTAATTGTGGAATTGTCAGAACTGAACACATATCATTTGATTAGTGCATATTTTTTATAGTACCTGAAAATAAAGATTTTGAAAAAATTTTGATGGAGAATTTTGATAAGTCCTGACATTGACCTAATTGAAATAGGTAAATGTGTTTGTATAGGTGCTAAGAATTTTCTAATTGCAGAACACAATGACGTTAGGACTTTACTGATTTAAAAATTTCAAACAATCATTTTTGAAATTTTAGATGAATGCTTTTGACTTTCATTCTGTTTAATTTCAGCAGTGCTGGGTGAAATACATATATCAGAACAAATCATGATGCTGTTACAAATGTATTATTTATCCAGTAAGTGTTTTAAGTCAATTTTAAAAAAATAATATGATTCTTACAGGTTTCTTCCATCTTTAAAATGCTCAAACATGGATTCAGGGACTAAAAGGATAAACTGATTAGACATTTTCTATTAGGAGTTTGGTAAAATATTGTAAAAATATTTTCACCTGTTAGGAGTGTTATAAGAATGGATTCTTTAATAAATATGTAAAACACAATAATTTTGGAATTGCCTTCTTAGTATTGTGGTTTTCACCTAGCTTATATTCCAAGTTTTACAGAATAGCTTTTAGGATAAAATGTTAGGGCTTTTATTTTTTTCTCATTATGAGAATTTATTTTTGGAGGAAATTATTATCTAATTCTTGATCTACTTATAAGTAATCCTAGAATTTTTGCCAAAAGAGCCTGTCATTGCATAATGAAACAGTTGGTATTCTTGTGCCATTGTTCAGTCATGTGTTTCTTTCATTTGCTGCTGAAAATTGCTGTTCAATCATTGACAACTATTTATTGATTACCCACTCTGTGCCATGTGCTGGATATGTTGATAAATGAAAGACTCTATCCTTATGCAATTTGAGTCTCGTGGGCTCAGAAGTAAATAATGTGAAAGCTAGATGGATAGTCAAAGTGAGTGCTTTTAGTTTTGCCAGTATTTAACATGTTGTTATCAATTTTTAAAAATAAATGTTAATTACAAAGTTAATCAGGTTTTGATGTGTATCCAGAAGAATCAATTTTTCTTAAAGTATCTGCATAGACATTCATAGCAAAGAATTTATGACATATCAGATAGAAATAAATTCAAATTTATTGTTTTCCCAGAGCTAGATCTAGTTTCTGGCTTGATTTTTTTTTTTAATGATATGCATAAGAATACCACTTTATAAAAAAGCTCCACACTATAGAAGCTCCCCTAACAGGCTTAAAATACCTTCTTAAAGAAAAAATGCCAACTCCATCCTTAATCTCAAGGAAATCTGATTGTCCAAACAGATCTGTTAATATGTAACATATTAATAGATAACTTGATGTGTAAAAGTATAAGCCATATTTTAAAAGGTTTTAAAAATAATGTGCTTCATTTGTGATATAATTACTAACATTTCTGCTTGTGATGGAGATTTATTTGTAAGAATGAGAGGCAAAGGATGTTAGCATAGCAAAAAGTTAACTTTTAATGGTAACCCTATGTGAATAAAATTACACCACTGTTAGCTCTTCTTTTTAACATTTCTTATTTCCTTAACTCTCAAGGGGTCATTATTTGAAAACTAGTTTATACAAAGTGTTATGTTTCAGAAATGTTTCCCCACTGCTGTGCATCATTCTGTGCCCTGTTGACTTCATTCACTGTTAACATTTGACATAGAATAATTAGTTATTAAATCAGAGGATGAAGTGCTTACCTGTCAATGTAGGCTCTTCAGATAATTTTGACTTAATATTTTTGATGCTCATTGCGTATTTACATTCATGGCTCCTACACATTAAGTCATATTACATGTTTTACTACATTGATTTCACTTTTTAATAAGCAGAAAGAGCCAGCTAACCCATTTTTATTGTAAAATGTTTACTTGAGTTGAAAAAGTTGTCAAGTACAAGTTTGATACATTATATATTGCTCAGTTGTAAAAATAATGTACATTTAGAATTTAAATCAGTTAAATTCATTCCATTGTACCAATATTTATTTTTAGAAAGAAAGAGAAGAAAGAAAGGAAAAAAGGAATGAAAGAGAGAGAGAAAGAGGGAGAGAGAACAGGACTCTTGCTTTATTGCCCAGGCTAGAATGCAGTCTAAAAATGGGTATTAAAAAACGTCTTTTATGCCAATAATTGTGCCTAACAATGGAGACAGGAAGGAATAAGGGAGGAAAATAACAAACAAGCAGCCAACCAATATTTCATTTAAACCTGTGAAATGCTATGCAATTACTGAGGAATGATTTACTTCCAATTATGTAGTCACTTTTAGAGTCGGTGTGATGTGGTACTGAGAAGAATGTATGTTTTGTAGATTTCGGGTGGAGAGTTCTGTAAATGTTTATTAAGTTTACTTGTTCCAGGTCTGAGTTCAAGTCCTGGATATCTTTGTTAATTTTCTGTCTCATTGATCTAATATTGACTCTGTGATGTTAAAGTCTCCCACTATTATTGTGTGGGAGTCTAAGTCTCTTTGTAAGTCATTAAGAACTTGCCTTATGTATCTGGGTGCTCCTGTATTGGGTGCATATATATTTAGGATCATTAGCTTTTCTTGTTGCATTGATCCTTTTACCATTATGTAATGTCCTTCTTTGCCTCTTTTGATCTGTGTTGCTTTAAAGTCTATTTTATCAGAGGCGAGAATTGCAACTCCTGCTTTTTATTTTTTGCTCTCCATTTGGTGGGTAAATCTTCCTCCATCCCTTTGAGTCTTTGTGTATCCTTGCATGTGAGATGGGTCTGGATGCTGCATACTTATGGGTTTTGGCTTTTTATCCAATTTGCCTGTCTGTGCCTTTTGTTTGGGACATTTAGTCGATTTAGATTTAGGATTAATATTAATATATATGAGTTTAATACTGCCATTTTATGCTAGCTGGCTGTTTTGCCCATTAGTTGATGTAGAGTCTTCATTATGTTGATGCTCTTTACCTTTTGGTATATTTTTGGAATGGCTGACACTGGTTGTTCCTTTCTATGTGTAGTGCTTCTTTCAGAAGCTCTTATAAAGCAGGCCTGGTGGTGATGAAATCTCTGAGTACTTGCTTGTTCACAAAAGATTTTATTTTTCCTTCACTTATGAAGCTTAGTTTGGGTGGATATGAAATTCTGGGTTGAAAGTTCTTTTCTTTAAGGATGTTTAATATTGGCCCCCACTCTCTTCTGGCTTGTAGGGTTTCTGCTATCTGCTGTAAGTCTGATGGGCTTCCCTTTGTGGGTAACCTGACCTTTCTCTCTGGCTGCCCTTAGCATTTTCTCCATTTCAACCCTGGTGAATCTGACAATTATGTGCCTTGGGGTTGCTCTCGTTGAGGAATATCTTTGTGGTGTTCTCTGTATTACCTGGAATTGAATATTATCCTGCCTTGCTAGGTTGGGACAAGTTTTCCTGAATAATATCCTGAAGAATATTTTCCAGCTTGGATTCATTCTCTTCGTCACATTCAGGTACACCTATCAAACGTAAATTAGGTCTTTTCACATAGTCCCATATTTCTTGGAGACTTTGCTCATTCCTTTTTACCTTTTTTTCTCTAATCTTGTCTTCTTGTTTTATTTCATTGAGTTGGTCTTTGACCTTTGATATCCTTTCTTCTACTTGGTCAATTCGACTGTTAAAACTTGCGCATACTTCACGAAGTTCTCGTATTGTGTTTTTCAGCTCCATTAATTCACTTACATTCCTCTCTAAGCTGTTTATTCTTGTTAGCATTTCGTCAAACCTTTTTTCAAGGTTCTTAGTTTCTTTGCAATGGGTTAGAACATGTTCTTTTAGCTCACAGAGGTTTCTTATTATCCACCTTCTGAAACCTGATTCTGACAATTCATCACATTCATTCTCCATCAGGCCTTATTCCCTTGCTGATGAGGAACTGCGATCCCATGAAGGAGGAGGGGCATTATGATTTCGGGTGTTTTCAGCCTTTTTGTGCTGGTTTCTTCCCATCTTTGTGGATTTGTCCACCTGTCATCTTTATAATTGCTGACTTTCAGATTGGGTCTCTGACCAGATGTCCAGCTTGTTAGTAATGATGTTATTTCTGTTTCTTTGTTTTCCTTCAGTGGACGTCCCTCCTCCACAGAGGTGGACCTTCCCAGGTTCAGCTGTGCTTGCTGTGAAACTCAACCGTCAGCATTTCCAATTGTTGTTTTGTGGGGGTGGTACCAGCTGAGCGCCTTCACCTGGCTCCCTGTCTCGGAGTCCCCTTTTTTTCTTTTCCTAATTCAATGGTGGATTCTCTCCCAGGTGCCCCAGTCACCCGCCGAAAAGGCGCCAGGATCTGTGCAGTTTCCCATGCTGCGACCATGCCGGCTGAAGCGGCGCTGAGATTCGTGGCGCTCTTCTGCCCAGGAATCTCCCGGTCTGGCTCCTTGCTTCAGTCCCCCTTTCAGTCAGCTGAATGGGCGATTCTGCCTTCCCGGAGCTCCAAACGCCACCAAAAAGGCATCCAGTTCGGCATACTCCACATTGAGAACCGCTGCGCAGGGATGCCAGCAAAACAGCCGCGCTGGCCGAGTCGCATTGGTGACCCATCGGGTTCCTCCACGGGGAATCTCCTGGTCCGTGGGTAACAAAAATTTGTCTATAAGTCTGGCGTCCACTCACTCCCTGCACCTTCACTGGGAGCTGCAATCCTGAGCTGCTGCTAGTCGGCCATCTTGGATCTCTTTGTCCCCATTGTACCAATATTACTTATGCATCCTTATACTTAAGAACAGCATCTAGCAAGACAATTGTGCAAAAAATTTAGGGATATTGCAACACCTAAATAAAATGGTGGGGAAAATAAGAGTAAATGTACTAATTAATTGCTAAAGAATAGTTCAGTTTTGTCAAAGGCAGTTTATTCTTGACTGTGAAAAATATGCAGTGGATTAGGGCATAAGTCAGTGACAAGGCTTATTAAAGTTTCTACATTAAGAAAGGCATGAAAAGTTTTTAAGTCTTACAGGATTTAAGACTTTTTTTTTTTTTTAAAGAAAATCATTAAAAAGTAGAAAAGCATATTTTAAGTTTTAATCTGAATACCTTAAATACAGAGATTTTGATGCTCAAATTTACAATTTAGATATTCTGGTATTTAGAGAAATGTAAAAATATCAGCATTTTAATATTTAGATCTGCTAAAACATAAAGCAGTTATGTTTTGAGTTATCCATAAAAGTAGTACAGGCTTTTAGGGCTTTGACCTGTATCTTGAAGGGTTATAGTCTCTCAGTGAAGAAAACTTTGACTTTCTGGAATATTTGGCTAGGTGGGGAAGAATACTAAAAAAAGAGGAAGTTGCCTTTTTGCTTGATCCATGGTTAGGGTATGCAATGACAAGAGGTTTCTATCTAGTTTGTCCAGTCTCTAGACTACTTGCCTTTCTTTCCTCATAGGCTCTGCATCTTCCCCTGTGCTATTTATAGACAGTATCCTGCACATTGTAGATGGTCAATAAATGTTGAAGTGTAATTGGGTTCACCAGGTTTAAAAAGCACTTTATGCAGACAAAGTTTTGCACTTGGCCAGTGTCTCTCATGTCTCTGGAGCTTGTGGATAGGGTCTATTAGAGAGGAATCAAGAGCCCAAGAGGAGGTAAAGTGGCAGCAGTGAAAACGAAACACAAGTATGTCTCTGAATGGAAGAACAGATTACTTACCAAGTGTCTCCTTGCTAAAAAAAAAGAACTTAATGATACCATCCTCTGGAGCAGTTTCTCAACACTGACACTATTGACGTTTTGTCCAAACAATTCTTTGTTGTTGGGGGGCTGTCCTGTTTTAGGAAGGTTAGCAGCATCCTTAGCCTCTATTGCCTATATGCCAATTGCACTTCTCTTGTGATCACCAAAAATGTCTTCAGATGTTACCAAGTATCTCCTGGGTCGGGGGAAGTCACCCCTGGTCTAGAGCTTTTGTTGCTAGATCTAACTGAGTTTATGGAAATAGGGGACAGATTAACCTATCACTCCAGGGATAGATGCAAAATCCAGAATGTGGAACACAGGACAGATAACATAGTTTCTTTAATAAATAAATTACAAGGAAAGGAAGAAATCCTAAGGTTAAGATTTAGAGAATTTAAATCAAATGCAATGTGTACATCATGTTTAGGTTTTGAGCAAAAAAACCCATTGAAGATTTGAGGATTTTTCAATATCATCGATATATAATGCTTCAGGATTCATGCAGGAGAATCCTTGTTTTAGAGGTCTATACTGAAATAGGAAATTATGGGTCTGCGTTTTGCTCCAAAATTACCTGTATTGGAGGGGAATGGTTGAGATCATGGATAAAGTGAGATTGGCCAGGAGTCAATGATAGTTGAAATTGGATGATGGGGTTCATCATATATATATATATTTTAACATATTTGATGTTTTTCATCATTAAAAACAAAAAAGGCATAACAGTGATAATGTAAAAGGAATCACCATTCTACCATTCGAATGGAAAGGTTCAAAAGGAACAGATTTCTTGGAAGACCTCTGGGCACACAGTGAACATTCAAATAGTTTCTGAAAGACAGTAACATAGCATAACCTGATCAAATATGTTTAAAAACTGCTACTAGCTGACTTTTATTGATAGTACTTGAGTATCACCTTTGTCACTTGGATTCCAATGTTTTGTAGATACATTACTACTGGATGCACTTTAAAGATAATGAGCCTGTATTAGCGCCTTTTCAAAAGGCATTACAAACTATTATTTTTTTGAATGTGACAAGCATATAAAGTAGATGGGTCAAAAAGGACCATCCCAGGGCTGTTTTGAAGGTTATTATTTAGAGGCCTCTATAGCACATCACACTAAATGTTTTCAAATTTTAATCACAGTACTTAAAATAAGAGAAAAAAGGAATACAGCTTAGCTTAAGTACTCATTTTTATAAAAATGTGTTTTATTATTTTAAAACAAGTCTATAAAAGTAGAAATAACATACAAAAATACAGATTACTCTGACGTGTTGGCAAAATAGCTTATGGCTGGACTTGAGTTTGGAAGTTCTGTATGTTTGAGGGCACCTGGATGTCAGAGTCCAACTGAATCCTAACCCCAGCTCTTGTCACTAATCTGTAAACAACAATTTCAAGTAGTAATATTTAGCACTGTTTACTAAGAAATTGAAGCATAATCATTTCCTGTGTAACCCAACTTTAAAATATTCCTTAGGTCTAAGCAGATAAAGGCACTTCATACTATGTTTCTAACGTTAACAATTTTTGATTAAAAAAAAAGTTAATACAAATGACGGGTTTTGGCTTTTCTTGGCGTTACATTTTGAACATACGAAGAAATCAATTTAAACTAGTTTTTTTGTGATTTTTAAGAAGTAGAATTTAATCTTTTCACTTCTATGTACCAGTTTTAAAAAAACATCACTGATGGTATCAAAAGGTCCCACATCTGGATTTTAACTCTTATGTAGGTATAAGTAGTGCATACTACTGAAACTGCATGAAACATATACCTGCTTCTGTTGTCTATTTCTGATTGAAGGGAGTGCAGTTCCTCGGACTTTAGGTCCGATACCCTTATAAATAGATAGTTTCAAACAATTATTGGTGAGAGATCATTAAAAAAAAAAAGACAATTTAAAATACTTGATTTTAGAATATAAAAGTAACCTTAAGAACCTCAGCACTAAAGGAAAGAAAACAGCAGGCAACTTCAGAATTCTTCCATCCAAATGTTCAAGAATAAAGACTAGATTAATAATAGCACCTTTCTAAAACAAAGCAAGTCATTTAAAAATCTTAAGGACCCATGTTCACATAATTTGATTATCAAGTTAGAAAACAATTATATTTCTCATCTAATTTAGAATTCTGGAAACACAGTAACTTAATGAACATTGAGATACTTCAAATTAACCTGTTGTAGAAAGCTGTCGCCTGGGCCTTCAAATCCTACACCTCTGGTTTTTGTAATGTTTGGTCTTTTGTAAGTTTTAAGGTGAATTAAGTGGCTACTAATTTCTATTAACATAATTTCAAATCTAAAGGCAAAATTAAAATGCATTTTTCTCTTCCTCATTACCAGAAAAGATGGCCTCATATGCTACTATCCTATGATTCTCTTTTTGTTCAGCTCATAATACAAATAGCTTATTGTTCTTCTAAGCTGTCTTATAAAGCAATACTATAAAATTAAATAGATAAAAGTTATATAAGCTATGAAGATTGTTTGCTGGCGGTAATTTTTAAGCTTGATTCTGAATAGACTTCATAAAAAGGGCACTTGGAAAAGGTGGCTCAAATTTTGCTCTTTAAGGTATCTTGAAATTAGAGGCTCACTCTCCCAAAATTTCAAAAGGCCTACAACTTTGGCTCTTAAGAGCAAAGCAGTGATAGAAGCTTTTAGAATCATTTCAACAAGCAAGATTTCATAGTTTTCCCTCTCAAATGGTTCCCTAATATACTTGCAGAATGAAGGCAAAGGGAAAACCAAGAATAAAACTAGCTAAGTACTCCATTAATTGAGCTTCCTGCCTACTTTCCCTGTTCTAAAGAAGACACCATCCTGCAATAAATACTTCACAGACAACTGGGCTTTTGCAGGGTCAGTCGGCATTTGATGCCCCATATCTCCTGGCTCTTTTGGTTGTCAATAGTTGGCCTGGCAATGGTGGTGAAATGGGAGCAATTAATCTGTAGATGAGGAAGGGCTTCCTTTAACAGTTGAAGGGTACCATCTGGCACAATTCCAAAAACTTGTAGTGTTTTTAGTGTGGGAATTTCTCCAAGTTCACTGGAAAGGAAGAAAAGACTTTTAGAATAGCAGTATCTATGGAAACTGTTTGGCTAGAGTTATATCACCCAAATTTTACAATTTGTATCATTTACAAAATGCAGTCTGAAAATATAATTTATAATAAATGACTTGAGAAAATAGCAAATTAAACTGGAAAGCACAGACCATATAGCTTGAGCAACATGGTTTTAGGAAATGCACTGGTGCATTTTATTGAATGAGGTTCCTAATAACCTTAGAAACTCAGGTTTATTTAAAATCCAACCATATTTGCTTCCTTTCTCCAGCTGTGATTTATACAGTGATCTGAATGGGGTTACTGTGTTGTGAGAAGAAACTAGCAAGCTAGTGATGGTAAAAAGCAGATGTTTTACTGTGGTGCCAGTTGCGTTACATGCAAATTAAGGATATGAACTTAACCTTTATGTGAACTAGGCTCATCTTTCAAAAGGAGATGTTGGCAGGATTCATGAACTTCTTAATAATGGTTCATAGTCAACAAGTCCATTCTGTGTGATGAAAACTACCACTGACTTCCCTAAGATACTTTAGACAAGGTTATGTAGTTGGGTACAAGTGGAAAACATGGGTGAAAAATCACATCCTTTATAGGAGGCAATAGCCATCTCTCTGATCTGTATTTGCTGAAGGTTGGGACACACAGTACAAAGTCTTGGGAAAGGGAACATTTATTTTGGAATTTCAACAAAATCCTACCACAGGTCAATGAGCACATCAATGACCTAGAGTCAGAAACATCCTTTATATTTTCATATTGTCAATAATTGCTTTAAAAAAAGCCCCAAACTTTCCTTACAGTAACTGTCACCTGACCTTCAGTCTTTCTTCTTTCTAGCCTATTCTATATACCAATTTCCAAGGCATCCTCCTGAAGCCTAGCTCAGATTAGTCATTCATCTGCTCCAAAACCTTGGATGCTTCCCTTGTGTTTACAGAACCCAGGCTGTTCAGCTAGCCTGAAGACCTTCTGTGTTTAACCTGCCCTTCCAGTCTTCCCACTACCCCCCTAAATATATTTATTTTACATTCCACAAGGTGTCTTAAACCCCATAAATGTTTATTATACATTAGCTGAGTACAAGATGAAGGCTAGTTTATAAAATAAAAGCACTCCAAATGAAATAAATATACTTGTTCACAAGGGGACAATAAGATCTAAAGGTACAACCAAGGAAAATCAGAAAGAACAAATTGCTGTCATTCTTTAAGTAAACTGCTTTCTGGAATGTAGAAACGGTATCAAAGTAAGATCACAATACACAGATGTTTATACTTATCACTTACAATGACAGCAATCCAGCTCCAACTTTGAATCCCTCATGTGAAATTTGAGAAATGTTGTTATGAGAATTCTGGTTCTGGGATATCCAAATTAGCCAAATTGTGAGCCATTCTGCACTGGAGAATATTTAAAGGAAGAAACTGTAGGAGGGAGTAAGAAAAGGAGGAATGGCAGATGGCAGAGGAGGGAATGTTCTTGCAATAGCGTTGGGAAAGAGATTTGGTGAGGAAAGAAATTAAGAGCAGACTCTCAGAACACACTAGAGTGTTATATATAAGAAGGGGCTTATATAAGATAAGACGATGGATGAAGAACCAGTTCCCAAGTAAAAAATCCAGAAAGTCTCTAAAATTTTAAGAAGAAGAGAAAAAACAAAAAATACCTACTGGTATGTGCATTACCTACAACCCAGAATAAAAACTTTGCAAGCATCTTTTAAAAACTACAATGGAAGAGACTGAAGAGCAAACTAAGGGATAGCAAATAGAAATAAGTAGTTCAAGAGCCATTATTTCTAATGTAAGAAGTATAAAATGACGCCAGTGTCTTCTGTATCTTGAATTTTAGAAAATAAAAGATATTTATGAACTCTTTCACAGGATTGTTCCTTACCTCATCTATATAATAATCTTGTTTTTCTTATAAAATCTTAAAGGCCTCAACTACAAATGCTCCTACCACAGAAGTTTTTTAGTCTTCTGTAATCTTAGATTAGTTTACTACCTCCAGCTTGGGTTTCTTACTTAAATGAGAAATAGGGAAGAATTAGAAGGAAGCTTAGATACAGAGGAGAAGACCAATTAAGAAGGGAATAAATACAATGGGAAAGGTCCTGGGGAAGAAAAATTTAGGGTTTCTCAAGTATTTGAAAACATTACTACAGAAGAAAGACATTCAAATTATATTTTCCCACTTTCTGAGAAATAGCCTTAAGTTCTTTAGCATAGATGGTTCTCTGGAAATTCTTACGGAAGCATCCCGGAATTTTTATTATAAATCTCAAATATATCAGCTGCCAAAATGATTGAAATTAGAGTCATTCTAATTCTCATTTTATCTTGAGAAACTTTTAAGTATCAACACACTCATCTTAAGGATTCACAATGCAAATCAGTGTATAATTTACACAATGCCTAAAGAAATATACTCTTTAACCTTAAATTTCAAGGACAGGATCTTTCTTCTTCTCTATTCTAGTGGTCTGACTTGTAACTAAACTCCTAATGTCCCTGTTTCTCTTATTTCATAAGGTTTGTACATAAAAGAAATAATAATGCAGTGAAGGTTCACAACTTGTTCTGTGACTTCAGGCCCATGTTTGTAAACATCAATTCACACTGCCTCCAGGTATTACCATGCGATTATTATGCAGGTATTGCAATTACTATTACTATTATCCCACTGGATAAAAATATTAAAATGAAGAGCTCACAGCCTTCCCCTTGGCTCTGCTTGAGAAAAAGCATTTGGGTTATTACCTGCTTGGCTTCTTTTTTTCTGCAGAGAAGGAACAAAAGCAAGACACATGGATAGATTCTCTTAAGAAAAGCAACCCAAAAAGAATTATCACCACACTCCCCAGGGGGCTGCACATGCAAAGAAACAGGAGCCCAGATGACAAGGACAGGAAAGAATGGATGACAGGGAAGCCTTTTTGGATTCATGCTAGAAGCTCCTAGGAGTTCTGGATGCTAGAAAATAAGAGAGGGCAGGGATTTCAATAAGTTTTATGCACATGAATTTAAACCCCAACACTTGAGAGCTGGGAAAGTAAATCCTACCATCCTATTTTAGGCAGTCCTTTTCCAAATGAGATACCAGCTCAGACCCTGAACCCCAAAATTAATTAAAATGCATAATTGCCAGATTTCCTAATTCTACTAGCTAACTCTGATAGCTGAGGTATCAGATTTATTCATTAATTCTTGAAACTAACTTAAAAGATCCAGGCTGATTCTGGGGACTAAAATTCTTTGTTCAAATTCACCACTGTTCCTGGGTAGGAGCTGGAAGCTGAATTAACCACCATTTAAATAGCGAGCTACATAAATGAGTCCAGCAGCCGCACTGAGGGCATGTTGGGCACCTGACCTACTCTACTGACCTCTTCTGGTTTTCAATAAAATTGCTACAAATTTACATTTGCCATTAGGGAGACTTTTCCAGCCCTTTGGGATGAAATACAGGAAACCTTTTAAAACAATAAAAATATGATTCCCAGGATGAGTTGGGTATGGTGCTTCCCAAAGGAAAGATAGACCAGGCTGCTTCTTTCTTGCACTCCCTTGATTCTGTGGAAGTTGCTGAGCAGGTAAAACTAACCCTTGTGTGAACTACTGGATTAGATAGTGACTATTTTGCTTCTGTCTAGGAGACCTAGGATTTAGACCCAGGTCAGCCACCAATTCACCATAAGGCTGGAATAAGTCACTTCACTTTTTAGACCTTAACACAACCCTGTTCAAAAACAGCATCAGACTTACAATGCATACCATCTACAGGCTTATATCCTTCCTATTCCTTGACTATCTAGGACATAGATCAGGAGAAGATACAGAATTTTTAGCCCAGATGAAAGCCTCTGGAATCAACTGGAGTTAATCCGAAAAAATTGGGAAGAAAAAAAGACACCTACATTGGGTCTGCCTTCCTAATTATACTCTGAGTTTCCTGGAGGAAAAGGTTATCTGCTGCTTCTTTGCTAAGTCCTCTCACAGATACTAAGACAGCAGGCTACTCATTAAAACTGCTTACAGCTAAACAATAAATGTTTGGTGAACCATCTGAATCAACTCAATTTCTCCAGACAGTTTAGCAACGTTCTGCTAGTCTTTCATAGCCAGTCTGTGCTATACTAATCACTAATGTTTCAGTTTCATGTGTCTATTAATAATAATGGATTTTCACACCAAGGGGCAGCTCTGTTGTTTCCTGCCTTCTATTAAGCATTAAAAACAGAACATACTTACAGTAAAGTTTCAGGTATTATATCATAGCACCGACTGAGAGACAGGTGTTGGAGGTAGCTGAGATGGAAAAATTCCGGGAAGCAGTCATTCTTTAGCATGATACTATCACTGTAAGAGAGCAGAAAAAAAATATTGAAAATCACACATTGATCCTAAAGACAGAAATAACCCACTTCTTAGCTCCTTCAATTCAACATTATAATCCTTTCTCCATTAAATGAGAAATCAAAAATTTTCAACTTTTGATCTAAAATAAACAAATTAAAAAATACCTTAAGTCTAGGTGGACAAGATTGGGGCATCTTCTAACTAAAGTAGAGAGATCTAGGAAAAGCAAACAAACATGATGGTCACTATTAAGCGAGGAACAAGACAAGGATATTTGCTATCATTCTATCATTGAACATCATGCTGGAAGTTCAGAACAATGCAGTTAGAAGCACACACTATTAGAAAGAAAAAATGATCATCTTGGAATATAAAATTTTCTACCTCAAAAGCCCAAGAGAATCACCTAAAAAAGAGAACTGTGTAAAATGACTGGTTCACAATAATTTTTAGCTTATCTATGTATCAGTAATAGCAGGCTGGAAAAATAATGAAAAAAAAAAATCCCATTCACAATAGCAAAAAGCAAAATTAAACACCAGTATATATAAGCAAATAACATGCTACAAAGGTAACACCTCAGATCAAAAAGAGAAATAACAGATCAGTAAAAAGAAATAGGCAGTGGCTGGCAAGATGGCTGAATAGGAACAGCTCTCGTCTGCAGGTCCCATTGAGATCAACACAGAAGGCAGTGTACCTGAAAGTGATGGGGAAATAAAACCAAGTTGGAAAACACTCTTCAGGATATTATCCAGGAGAACTTCCCCAACATTCAAGACAGGCCAACATTCAAATTCAGGGAATACAGAGAATACCACAAAGATATTCATTGAGAAGAACAACACACCAAGATGCTAATCATCAGATTCACCAAGGTTGAACTGAAGGAAAAACTGTTAAGGGCAGCCAGAGAGAAATGTCTCGTTACCCAAAAAGGGAAGCCTATCAGACTCACAGCAGATCTTTCTGCAGAAACCCTACAGGCCAGAAGGGAGTGAGGGGCCAATATTCAACATTCTTAAAAAAGTTTCTACCCAGAATTTCATATCCAGCCAAACTAAGCTTCATAAGCAAAGGAGAAAGAAAATCTTTTACAGATATGCAAATGCTGAGAGTTTTTGTCACCACCAGGCCTGCCTTACAAGAGCTCCTGAAGGAGGCACTACATATGGAAAGGAAAAACTGGTACCAGCCACTGCAAAAACATACCAAATTGTAAAGACCATCGACAATGTGAAGAAACTGCATTAACTAATGGGCAAAATAACCAGCTAGCATCAAAATGGCAGAATCAAATTCATACCTAACAATTCACACCTTAAATGTAAATAGGCTAAATGTCCCAATTAAAAGATAAAGACTGGCAAACTGGATAGAGTCAAGACCTATTCATATGCTGTATTCAGGAGACCTATCTCATGTGCAAAGACACACATAGGCTCAAAATAAAGGGGTGGAGGAATATTTACCAAGCAAATGGAAAGGAAATAAAAAGCAGGCATTGCAATCCTAGTAGCTGATAAAATAGACTTTAAACCAATGAAGATAAAAAACAAAGAAGGGCATTACATAACAGTAACAGACAAACAGAAAGCTAAATCATAAGTGAACACCCATTCCCATTGCTACAAAGAGAATAATATACCTATGAATACAACTAACAAGGGGTGTAAAGGATCTCTTCAAGTAGAACTACAAACCACTGCTCAAGGAAATAAGACCCAAACAAATGGAAAAACATTGCACGTTCATGGATAGGAAGAATCAGTATCGTGAAAATGGCCATACTGCCCAAAGTAATTTATAGATTGAATGCTAGCCCCTTCAAGCTACCATTGCATTTCTTCACAGAATTAGAAAAAACTACTTTAAATTTCTTATGGAACAAAAAAAGAGCCCACATAGCCAAGACAATCCTAAGTGAAAAGAACAAAGCTGGAGGCATCATGCTACCTGACCTCAAACTATACTACTAGGCAACAGTAACAAAAACATCATGATACTGGTACCAAAACAGATATACAGACCAATGGAACAGAACAGACGGCTCAGAAATAACACCACGCATCTGATCTTTGACAAACCTGACAAAAACAAGCAATGGGGAAAGAATTCCCTATTTAATAAATGGTGCTGGGAAAACTGGCTAGCTATATGCAGAAAACTGAAACTGGACCCCTTAATTACACCTTATGCAAAAATTAACTCAAGATAGATTAAAAACTTAAATGTAATACCTAAAAACCACAAAAACTGTAGAAGAAAACCAAGGCAATACCATTCAGGACATAGGCATGGGCAAAGACTTTATGACTACAACACCAAAAGCAATGAATGGCAATGAAGGGCAAATTGACAAATGGGATCTCATTAAGCTAAAAAGCTTCTGCACAACAAAAGAAACTATCATCAGAGTGAACAGGCAACCTACAGAATGGGAGAAAATTTTTGCAATCTACCCATCTGACAAAGGGCTCATATCCAGAATCTATAAAGAACTTAAACAAATTTACAAGAAAAAAACAACCCCATCAAAAAGTGGGCGAAGGATATGAACAGACACTTCCAAAAGAAGACATTTATGTGGCCAAAAAACCGTAAGAAAAAAAAGCTCATTATCACTGGTCACGAGAGAAATGCAAATCAAAACCACAATGAGATACCATCTTACACCAGTTAGAGTGGCAATCATTAAAAAGTCAGGAAATAACGGATGCTGGAGAGGATATGGAGAAATAGGAATGCTTTTACACTGTCGGTGGGAGTGTCAATTAGTTCAACCATTGTGGAAGACAGTGTGGCGATTCCTCAAAGATCTAGAACCAGAAATACTGTATAACCCAGCAATCCCATTACTGGGTATATACCCAAAGGATTATAAATCATTCTACTATAAAGACACATGCATACATATGTTTATTGCAGCACTATTCACAATAGCAAAGACTTGGAACCAACCCAAATGCCCATCAATGAAAGGCTGGATAAAGAAAATGTGGCATATATACACCATGGAATACTATGCAGCCATAAAAAAAGATGAGTTCATGTCTTTTGCAGGGACATAGATGAAGCTGGAAACCATCATACTAGGGAGTTAATCTTATATAAAGAGAAAAAAGATAAATCAAAAATAGGCAATGAACATGAACAAATCTACATTATAAAATACCAAGATCATAAAAAGGAGCAAGAAATACCAACGAAAATTAGAAATATTGCTTCTCAGCCATCAAGTGAAAAACAATTCTATCATAAAGTACACTACAGGTATAGATACTTGATTTTATTTGTGGGATTTCAGGAGCCTGAACTGATTATTTTTGGATAGTGAACTAATTTTTTTTTTTTTTTTTTTTTAAGAATTCAGAGAATTACACACTTTACTTTTGGTCCAGTTATTCCACTTTTAGAAAAGTATAGATGTGTATGAATATATTCAATGTGGCAACAGTTATATTAGCCCCTCCTCCAATCAGTTTAATATGTTAACCTTATCCATTCCATGAAATACATGCTAATCATTATTAAAAAGTTTTCTGATAACATTTTATACCGAAAAAAATACTAAGATAGATTGCAAACAAAATATATACAATGCATTATAATTTCAACTTAGCCAAAACACACTCCAACTCACATTTACACACAAACACATATACAGAAAGAAAGAGAAAAGAAAAAAAAAGGCTGGAAGGAAATACATCCAAAATGTTAACTTCAGTATTCAAGGGTGTCAGGATTACAGACAACTTTTCAGAATTTGGAAGAAAGTCAGGTGAGCTACTTGGCAATCAGGAAATAAATCAATAAATGTTACTTATTTAGAACCACAGGCAAACATTTGAGGGTTTTTTTGTCTCACAGGTATATCCCCTCCCCTAAATTCTGGACTTGCATTTCCAACTGCCTCCTCAACATACTGTTTGGATATGTAATAGGACTCCACATTTATGTCTAAAACCAAACACTCAAATTTCTCCCCAAAATTTCCTCTTTCCGTAAACTCTTTCCCATCTCAGCAAGTGATAATTTCACGAATCCAGGGGCTTCAGCCAAAACCCTTGAAATCATAGTGGACTGTTTTTCTCACATCCCACATTCATTCTGTGACCAAATCTCATGATGTTGGTTTTAAAAATGTGCCCAAATCTGATCATTTCTTACCACCTTAAGTGTCATCACCCTAGTCCCCTAACTGGTCTCCCTGCTTCATACTTCCCCCTACAGCCTTTTCTCAGCACAGCACCAGCTTGAGTCTTTTAAAATTAAGTCAGTCATATCATCATTCTGCTCGAAATATGCCAATGGCTTCCCATCTCACACAGGGAAAATTCAAAGCTTTTGTCTTGGCTTAGCCCTTGGACATCTCTCTCCTCTCACTGTTCTCCCTGCTCCCTCTCACACACTGGTTCCATGTCAAGGTCTTAGCACTCGCAGGTCCTTTGTCCTTAAATGTTCTCTCACATATGCATGTGGATTCCTCTTTCACTCAGTCAGGTCTCTGGCTCCAGTGTAGCCTCCTCAGAGAGGCCCTGTCTTTAACTATTCCATCTAAAAGTCGTCCCCTTTCTCCACATTCTACCTGGTTACTCTGCTTTGCTTTTCTTCTTTGCAATTTCACCTCCTTTTATAACATTCATGAAATATGTTCACTTTCTGGCTACCCTACTAGAAAGTAAACTTCGTAAGGGTGACTTTCTCTGTTTTGTTCAAGGCTACCTCTTCTGGGTCTGGAACAGGGCTTCAATCATTGTAGATGCTTAATAAACATTTAATGAATGACCAAAAAATAAAAATACTACACAATAAAGTTTTGAGAGACCAATCATCTAGCCAGCCAACTAGCCATCAGCAAAATCAAATGCAATCATACTTTGACACCACTGGAGAAAGAACTAAACATTCGGGGATAAAGTGGATTAGTCTCCTTCTCTGCCCCACACTTAAGCTCTGTCTTCCCTGGGCAGGAAGGGTTAGTAAACAGTAGTCACTGCCAAGCTTCCCTCTTCACTGTCCCCTTAATTTCACCACAAACAGTAGACCCAACCTGAGCTAGAAGGGATCTTAGAAACCATGTAATTTAATCTGCCACTTCAAAGGAGAGGTGATTTCAGCTACATAAGTCAAGGTCAAATCCAAAACCAAAGGTTTCTGAGCGTCATCCATTACTCCATGGAAAGGTAGTGATGTGGGTAGTAGGGAAGGAACAGTAATAACAGCCAACAGTAACTGAACTCTTACCATGTGCCAAGAAATGTTCCACATGTTGTACGTATCTTAACTCATTTATTCTTTCCTGTAACTCTAAGAGGTGAGTTCTACTTATCTCCATTTCACTGTTGAGAGAACTAAGGAACAGGTAAGTTTGGCAACTTGCCTAAGTCTACCCAGTAAATGGCAGAGTGAGTATTTGAACCCAGGCCATCTGGTACCAGTCTATGAGCTAAAACCAAATCCATATTATCTCCGACATAATGAAATGGTGTGTGCTATTGTTAGACATTAAAAATCTTTTTATCCCCATTGAATAATTAAAAAACAAACACTTCAATTTATATTGTCTCTCTTTCCTGAATGTGTCTAGCAAGCAGAATTTTATTTATTTATTTATTTATTTATTTTTGAGACGGAGTTTCGCTCTTGTTACCCAGGCTGGAGTGCAATGGCGCGATCTCGGCTCACTGCAACCTCCGCCTCCCGGTTCAGGCAATTCTCCTGCCCCAGCCTCCTGAGTAGCTGGGATTACAGGCACGCGCCACCATGCCCAGCTGATTTTTTGTATTTTTAGTAGAGACGGGGTTTCACTATGTTGACCAGGATGGTCTCGATCTCTTGACCTCGTGATCCACCCGCCTCGGCCTCCCAAAGTGCTGGGATTACAGGCGTGAGCCACCGCGCCCGGCCCCAGAATTTTAATACCTACTATTTCTGCCAAAAACTCGGTAAACAGGCTCTCTGTTCTCTTTCTTGGAGAAACAAAGGGAAAGGTTTTAAGCCAAACTTGGACAAAACCAACAGCACTTTGCCTACAGCAGTTTCTCAACCTTGCACCCAGAGCCTCAGTTCATGTCAGAAAATCTTTCAGTAAAGTAGTGAAAGATCCAGATGTGGGCAAGAAATATAAACAAGGCACTGCCTTCCCTTCACCTGCAGATGAACAGAGAAGAGCCAAGAAGGATGGGATTTCACACCAAGAGGATGGCTCGTGGGTGGGAGTTTAAACTTCTTGAAGGAAAATTTGACAAAAGCTATCCAAAACTTGAGGATAGTCCAGGATTAGCACCTAATGCTGGACTCAGCAATTCCACTTTTAAGAATCCATCCTTAGAAATGCATCCAAAGATTTTTCTCTGTCACTCATAAAATGGTTTATAGGAGAGAAAAACTGGGAAGATTCTGAATGTTCATTAGAAGGTGATCAACTGCATAAATTGTTATATTGATTTAATATAAATTATTCCATATCTATTTGATGGACTATCACATAGCCACTGATGATGACATAATGTAACCGCTGAAAATGGGGTTATGGGGGGGCGGGGAAAAGCATATTAAAAAGTATTTCATGTATTATGTTCCATTTAAATAAAACCCTTTTTATACAGCAAAAAGCCTAGCAAGATGTTCATTATTGGTGATTTGCTTCCCTTTGTGTTTTTCCATATTTTACATACTTTTGAAAAAGACTACATAACACTATGATCAGGTTTAAAATAGTACTTATAAATACTGGGTGGGGAGATTGGTAAAAAATAAAGACATGATTCCTACTTTTATGGCTAACTAAAGAAAGTGTTCACGTTGTCTGAAAATGCAAGTGTTGGAATGGCAGTAGCCCAAATCTGAGTCCTTGCACAGGCGAAAGACTCAAATCTCTACCCACTCATGAGAGTCTAGCAATTATTTTTTATAGCTTTACATCTCTTACCAGAGGATGTCTGTCCTGGAGAAGTAGTTTTACACTACTTAAATTTTAAGATATATTCTGCAGATGTTTGCTTCAAATCTTTTTCAGAATAATAAAAACTATAATAAACAAAACACACTCAAGTAAGCTAGTACTAACATCAAGATATGGCGACGTGGGTGGCTGATTTAGCCAGGTTTTGTATAGCCCACAGACTGAATGTTGGCCTGAGATGATGAAGCCATTTAAAAAACTTGCCATTTGCAAGCACTTGCCTTTACAAATCAGGATTTTCTCATTAACATACAAATAAACTAAAGCATAACTGAATATTAAGGTTTGTAAAGGCTATTACCTGCTACCCCGAATTCTAATGCCTGTCTTCATCTAACAAGCTTCATTGCCCTCTTAGACTGAATACAAAATAAAAGTCATAAATATGAACTTATTAACAGGGTTTATAACAGAGTTTTTCAACCTTGGCACTGATGTTTGGACCAGATTATTGTGCGTACTATTCTCCTATCCTATACACCATCTGGCAGCATTCCTGCTTCCACCCATGAGAGACCAGCAGCACTCCCACAGCTGTGACAATAAAAACTGTCTCCAGACATTCACAAATGTCCCCGTACAAACAAAATAGCCCCTAATGAAGAAACACTACTTCATACTAATCAAATGCTACATTTATGCATTTTTATGTTGGGATTTACCTAATCATTTAGTTGATTAAAAGTTTTTCTGCTTAAAAATACATTGTTTTTAAAAATAAAGGTTTCTACTGTTAGATCCTGAATTCAGACCTTGGCTCTAGTTCACTAGCTGTTTACCTTTACCTAATCGTCAGATCTGCAGCTACCCCATCCGAAAGAGGGGAATGACACAGGCACTGGATTAAATCAGAAAACATATGTGGAGGAACAATTAGGAGAAGCTCAATGAATCTAATCCATTATGCTGTGAAGGCCTCAGTGGTCCAGGCTTGGAAGCTCTAACCTGATTTCTGGAGATTCTTTCGGTAGCCACTAAGATTCAGCTGGGTGATGGTCTCTGACACATGCGCAACTGCCACCTGCACATGCTTCTCAGTGAAATCAAAGCACCAGGAGAGGTTCAGCTCATCCAGTCTGCACAAAAGCGGGGTAACAAAGAAAATATGAAAACATCACATGGGAATGAGTTTGTCTTAAGCCACAAAGAAAGAAAATGCAAAGCCATTGATTCCTTATTTCACACACAGAACACCCATTTCGTTAAACGCAGCTACCTTTTGTCACCTGAGTATACCCTGTTTACCCTTGAAAGTTGCCAGAGGGTCAGAGCAAAAGGCCTTGGTGAATGCTGCCTCCTTCTGGAAATGGAGGGAAGCACTCTCTTCCTGATGGCTCAAACCTTATTCCAGTACTGCAGGTAGAATACTAGTCTTTTATGTTTGCTTTCTCAAACTACCAACTATACAACACAGATGATCAATAACTCAGGATGTTTTAAACAATTGATGGAAAGCACCAAGGATTCTTAATAAAGAGATGCTGACATTGCAAAAAGCCACTTCATCTTACTGTGCCTCTGCTAACTGAGCAAAAATGAGTGTTTCAGGGACAACATACAACCATTAATCCCCACTCCCCATTTCCTGGCATTGCTGACTAAATATAGGGCTATACATTTCATCTCACTGATAACATTCATATCCGGAGGTAATCTATTTTAAATGGACCATTAACAAGGCACAGATACAAATGCTGTACCACGGAGACTAAGGGATATCTTTTAAAAACACCCATATGCATAGTACTGTGTATTCCAAAAACCATATATTCCCCTCACTTAGCAATATTTATAACTCTGTATCCTTTATGTGCTGACATTATTATAAGAGATATTGCTAATAGAACTGCCCAAATTTATTTATGGTGTATATTTATAACACACCAAATTTCATCAAAAATTTTAAGTTAGGTCTACAAATACCACAGGAGAAAAAACCTGACTGCATAGTTAAATGTGAGCAGTTGACAACCATACAGTTGATAGACACTACTGTATTTCCCTTATTTTAACAGTTACAAATAAACAAAAAAGAGATCACTATACTAGTATCACTTGCAAACTGAATTGAGTTGGCTCCTGAGTTTGAACAGGAAGTTTGGAGGGCAAAATATTTTGCATTCACAAAATCAAGAGCCTGGAAAGTTGCAAAAAGCTCACAAAGTTCATCCAATTTTATATAGGTGTGAGGGATAATTTGATATAAGAGTCTATAATCAAGTCTCATATCTTTCGTACCTGGAACAGCCACTTAGCAAAGTCTGGAGGGCAAATTCAGAGAATCCAGAACACCCACAAAGGTTAAGTCGAACTAAATTTGAGTTTTGCGCGAGATTACTGGAAAAAAAGAAAAACATCAGAAGAAAAAGACCCATAAGATACTATTTATTCATCAACATTTACATGAAAGCAGGCAAGTAGAGTTAAGCTCACAGCTCTTTGAGTTAGGGTGAGTTGAAAATGTATATTATTTTAAATATACATCTATTATTTAAATTATCTCACTATTTCTGAGACATCAAACAGGATAACTTACCTCAGTTTACTCATCTGTGAAATGATATCATCAAATCTTCTTGGTAGAGTTATTAAGAAGATTAAATGATAATGTAATAAATGACTTACTACAAAACAAATACACAAGTATATCAATCAGTGTACTTTTTCAGTTAAAAAGACAATGGAATAAACATATATCCATTTCATTCAGAATTAGCTTGCAGACAAACTTCTACTTGTAAAATCACCAGGTTCTTTTGACTACACATCTCTCAAATTTGCTATCTTCTCTACAACAGCCCCAAATGTCCTGTAAAACTTAGTGATTAAGAACAAGAATTCTGGAATATTATATCACTATGTTCATATCTTGGGTCAGCCACCTACTAACAGTGTGACCCTGGAAAAGTTATTCAGTCTCCCTGTGTCTCAGTTTCCACATCTATAAAAAGGAAACAAATAAAATTATACTCTATGGGGTTACTGTCAGAATTAAATGAGAACACATTTACAAAATTCACTGTCTGGCACATAATACATGCCCCAAAACATTAGCTGCCATTATTGCTATCTGTTTTATATTAGACTTCATCTTTTCCCACCTGAATGAACACAGTAGTATCCTTAACTACTCTAGTTTCTTTTATCCTCGATGGACCCTTCATGGTGCCTGGCAGGTTAATTTCCTAAATTTCAACTCTTGACATGTTCCTTTCATTCTCAGAACCACTCTCTCCACCACGCTTCCCTCTTTTTTTTTTTTTTGAAGCTGAATTTTGCTCTTGTCACCCAGGCTGGAATCCAATGGCATGGTCTCAGCTCACTGTAACCTCTGCCTCCTGGGTTCAAGCGATTCTCCTGCCACAGCCTCCTGAGTAGCTGGGATTACAGGCATCTGCCAGTACGCCCAGCTAATTTTTGTACTTTTAGTAGAGATGGGGTTTTACCACGTGGGCCAGGCTGGTCTCGAACTCCCAATCTCAGGTGATCCGCCCACCTCAGTCTCCCAAAGTGCTGGCAGGTGTCAGCCACCACAAGTGGCCCATGCCTCCCTCTTGATGGAAGAGTCCATTCTTCCTTACAGTAAGATGTAGAGGCCCATTACAATCTGGTCCCTGACTCTCCTCACCTCCTGTCACTCCCCTTCCTGAGTCCTGTGCACCAGCAACTTCCAACTACTTAAGAGTTTAGAATCACACAGAAAGCTTTACCTAGGCTGGTTCCTTTGTCTTATTACCTGGAGATCTCCTACCTAGATATCTTCAATACTCAGCTTAAGAGTCACTTCCTCTAAGAATGCCACCCGTGTGTTGCCACATATTCGCTGAAACATTTAATAAACACACTGCATGGTAATTATCTGTCTTGCTCATAAATAGTTTACCTTCGTGCAAGAGGAAACAGATATGTCTTGCTCAATGTTTCCTCTTGCACGAAGGTAAACTATAGCTTAATCAGCATTCACTGACAACCTGGAAAATGTTTTGGAACATTCATTTTCTTCCCAAATAATACACATGCATTGTTCACCCTTGTATCTCTAGAACCTAGCACAGGGTCTGGCATATAGTTAGCATTCAAGCTTTTGTTGCTTCAACGAGTCCTGAAAAGTTCTGCAGAAGCTTGAGCACTGCACTAGATACTTTATGTATCCACCTGGATATGGCTAGAAGGGCACCCTAGTTAGATACAGGGAAAAAATTCATACACATAAAAACAACTGCCTTTGTGACACTCTGGCTGCCACTCACTTGACAATGGGATCCGACAGCCGCAGGCCTTCCAGGCTTAGATTCTGCAACTTGGAACACTGAGACAGAATGCCCTGGAGGGTGGACACTTCAATAACCGAGTTCGACAGGTCCATGTGCTGCACACGAAAAGGGCTAAACACGGGGAGAAAAAAGGGGCTCCATAGGTGGCTCTCCCAGGTACATTCAGATCGAATCAGACCCCTCCTTCTCCCCAAATGAGCAGCCAATCACCAACAAGACCCGAAATACACACTTCAAGCGTTAACTATAGCTTTGGTCATAAAACAAATTGCTACTAGTGTATTCCTACCCTCGTTCATCTTAAAATTCAGAGGATTTTTGCCAAGTACAGATGTTGCTGCCAATATAGTCCCACTTAGAAAACAATGAGTGGGAATCACAACAAGGAGCTGGATGTGGGTGACAAGGAGATTAAGACTATAATGGCTCCTGGTTTCTGGCAAGGGTGAGTGGGTGAACAGCAGTGGAACAGGGAAGACAGTGGAAGGGCAAGTTTTTTTTTTTTTTTTTTTTTTTTTTGGGAGACGGAGTTTCGCTCTTGTTACCCAGGCTGGAGTGCAATGGCGCGATCTCGGCTCACCGCAACCTCCGCCTCCTGGGTTCAAGCAATTCTCCTGCCTCAGCCTCCTGAGTAGCTGGGACTACAGGCATGCGCCACCATGCCCAGCTAATTTTTTGTATTTTTAGTAGAGACGGGGTTTCACCATGTTGACCAGGATGGTCTCGATCTCTTGACCTCGTGATCCACCCGCCTCGGCCTCCCAAAGTGCTAGGATTACAGGCTTGAGCCACCGCGCCCGGCAAGGAAAGGCAAGTTTTAAAGGGAGGCCAGGCCAGGCACAGTGGCTCATGCTTGTAATACCAGTACTTTGGGAGGCGGAGGTGGGCCGATCACGAGGTCAGGAGTTTGAGACCAGCCTGGCCAGCATGGTGAAACCCCATCTCTACTAAAGATACAAAAAAGTAGCCAGGCGTGGTGGAGGACACCCATAGTCCCAGCTATCAGAGAGGTTGAAACAGGAGAACTGCTTGAGCCCAGTAGGCGAAGGTTGCAGAGAGTCAAGATTGCGCCACTGCACTCCAGCCTGGGTGACAGAGCGAGACTCCGTCTTGGAGAAGGGGAGGGAAGGGAGGCCAAATTTAATTTTAGCTATGTTAATATTGAACTACTTGTAAGAAATTCAGGTACAGAAGTTTTTAGGTAATTAGAAATTTGGGAGTTTGAAAGAGGGCCAAGCTATAGATGAGGAACTGAGAGTCCTGGGCATAAATGTGGGTGTATAGGACACAGCTTGTCCAAGGACAGCATTTGGATTTGAAAAAGGCAGCAGCCAGGAACCAACCCTGGAGTAAAAGGAACAGCCACAGGAGAACGGGATTAAAAAGCAGCGGGAGATGTGATTCTGACTACGAAGAGAAAGGAAAAATTATTGAAGTCAAGAGACATGTTTTATCTTTAGCTCTGTGGTCTTCAGTTTGTTCTTCTGTTCAGTACCTAGTTATTCTACTCAAGTATGTGATAGCAGTAACCTTAGTATTATAACATTATCAGTGACAGAAAATATTTTTTCAAAATATTCTACAAAATGAACAAAAAGAGGGCAATTGTTTTCAGGTTCCAAGTTTCTCCCTGACAAAATCATAAACCCCGAGCTACAAATATGAAAACACTCCTCACTTTTTTTTTTTTTTTAAATCAGAAATGGGTGGTGGGAACATAACTGGGCAGCCTTGCATCTGCCAGTGAGTGTTTTACTTGTGCCTGCCTTGTGGGACTCACAGCCCCCATCAGCTGAGGACTTGAGAAGATAATTGTGCTTCTTTCACCCTAGGAAAAGACTAACAGTAACCTTGAGTGAAATGGGAACAGTGTCATTGAAATCTATGCTATGTTTCAGCACAAAGGCCCCGAAGCAAAATATGCAATTAATATCCCACACTGCAAAGATAACCTATCATAGGCTATAAGGCTGAATAAAGAAAAAGAGTTTTGATCTGTTTCTACCTCAAAATTTAGAAATCATCTTTTCCAGGGATTTTTCATCTTTACCTGAAATGTTCAGCTAATGGTTGGTCCATAAATGATCGTGGGCAGCGGAAGGCAATCACCCCTTGAGACAGCAACCGACCAGTAACATCTGGGTGCAGATTTTTACCTGTGAGGTCTAAGGTTTGCCATAGAGACTCGTCAAACCTAGAAAAGAGGAGGTGCTTAATTTGGCCAGTCAGTCACACTAAATGCTGGAGACCCTCAACAACATTACTAACAAGGAGAGCACTGCTGTTAAATCCCCTTCAAGCACATACTGAAAGGACCTTTGTTTTTAAGTTGACTATACAATTAGTTATGATATTTTTAAGGCACTAGAAAATTTTTCTCGATCTCACCAAGGATAAGCTTCCATCTTTCTCTTTCTATATACTTCCAATTTAGATGGTTCAATGTGAACATTAGCACTGCCGTGATCTAGAACCAGAGAATAATATTCCAGCATTCAAGCTGACAAATTTAAAAATGATTGCTCAAATCAATTAATTATTATATTACTAAGCAAGTAGATTCAAAACTTCTTAGAGGATCCTATTGGCCACTTTTGTTAAGCAATTACCACAATTACTGTAGTAACATAAAAATATTGCTAAAGGAAGGAAAGTTAGCATTATTTTATTGTGAAATAAGGTCATGATAGCCAGTAGGAACAGCCATAGTTCAGCTGTGCCTTATAATATCTTTTAAGCTTAAAACACACACGAGTGTATGTGTGTGTGAACTAATGTGAAAACAGAAAGGAAAAATATAACTTTTTGTTATATTTTTATAAAAGATTGTATAAAAGATGGTGTTTCTAAAACAAAAAGGACATTCAAAAACTGTACTGAATAGCAAAGTAAGAGAGTTTTAATATATTGAATTCAATTTTAAAAAAGAAAATGTAAAATACAAGCACATGAAGGAACTTTTTAAATGCTTAAGTGTTCCAGAATCTTCTTTTTTAATAGTGCTTGAAATAAGGGGACTGCTGGCCAGAGTTATGAAATAATTTCATCATAGAGAAATTGTCAGTGTGTGATTTGACCTCCATCATTAAAAAGGTGGACTGTAGATAAGATATCCTTAAGAGAGTAGCACACTTTTGTATCTTTCTTGCCTAGACAGAAATCCATTTTGGCCTCCAAGGTCAGCACTGCTCGGCACCAGATCAGCACTGCTCTGGTTGTCTTGAATCTCATGCTTGATGTCTCCTCTTGCAAGCAGGCAAACTATAGCTTAACCAGCATTCAATAACAACCTAGGAAAAGTTTTGGAACATTCGTTTTCTTCCTAAATAACATACATTTTTCAGGAAGATGAACACCTCACAGAAAAATGAATTTGGGAGCTACCTGAACCCTAAGCCAAGCAAAACTAGCTATGGTGTGATGGTTAAGACTGGAATTAGCCAGACTTTAGATTCTTGTCTTTCCACTTATGTCTCAACCTACTATTCCTGACCCCGCAGTTTCCTCATCTCTGAAACGGAGATGACCAAACACCGTCACTTAAGTGACAAGGATTAAACTGCAAACACTGCAACTGTCACATAGCAAGTGCTTAATAAATGTCAGTTATTACTTTTATGCAACTGAGATGAAATTTAACGGATTCTAGGGGAGATGTAGGTCAAAGAATACAAAGCCACAGACATGCAGGATGAACACATCCCAAGATGTAGTGTACAACAGGATTACAGTCAATAATACTGTATTATAGTCAGAATTTTTGCTAAAAGAGTAAATTTCAGGTGCTTTTGCCACAAAAAAGGGGTAACTATGTGAGATCATGAATACGTTAATGTACTTGATTACAGTAGCCATTTCACTTGCGCATATATATATATATATATATATATACACACACACACACACACACAATAAAATGTTAAAATGGGATTAATAGATGCTGCAAGAAGAGGACATATGCACAGCTGGCAGAAACAGAAAGTGGGGTTCCTTGAGTGCAGTGAGGGTAAGTGAAACTTGCCTGCCACTTGCACTAGTATTCCAGGTGTGCAAACCTCTCTGTAGCTCTTCCAAGCAAAAACCCACACCTGTAAATACCAGCACACCCTTGAAGGCAAGAGTCTCCTGCTATTTCACAAAGGGAATTCTAGGTATGTGGAGAAAGAAGCCAGACGATGGCCTTTAAACACAAAGCAAAGAATGACCAGAGAGTAGAATAGGGATGAGAAGGCATGAAGATAATAAAAAGTTCCAGTTGAAAAACAAAGCCTTTTTCTTGCTCCAGGCCTGTGATTGCCTTCCAGGTCACCAAGTCTTTCCATGGGCAGCTCACCTTCAACACCTGAAAGGTGTTGCCAAAAAACCCAGCAAAACTGCACCAATGGCTACTCTGTGCTGAACATGTCTATGGGTCAGGTATTGCACTAGCATCTTCACATTTCATCCTCATAACCAGTGGTTTCATCTTCATAACCATTATCTCCATTTACACATGGGGAGACTAAGCCTCAGCAGTGTCAAGTAACTCGCTTAGGTCATACAGAAGGTAAGCAGCAAAAGCTAGGTGTGCACTCGGATCTAACACCAAGCCTGTGTTCTCTCTCCTTGTTGTGCTCACTGCTCAGCCCACCGGCGTGAGGAACTGCTGTCTGCATACACCTCTGTAGCTCCCTCTGCCCTTAGAGCACACTGCCTGGCCCACCAGGGTCAGCATCCAATAAACACTTGCTGCACTGAATACAGGGCAAAGAGGTTTCCAAGCATTGGTAAGTTCACACCTCCCAGGAAATTCCTCTTCCACTGTGAAATGGGGATACTTATTAATAAAAATATGAAGATATTAACAAAAATATTAATAAAAATATGAAGATAGGAGCCTTGTTAAACTTTTAAATAATTACCATTGGCTTTGTAGGATCTTTATTAGATTCCCTTCCATCTGGTGTCCCCTAGTTTGCTTTGTGCTGCTCTATTTTTCTTGGTTTTTAGTTTCATGAGACCAAAATGAATAAATAACCTTCCTCTCCTCTTCCTCCCCTACGTATGCCAAAGGGGTGAAAAATACTTACGCTAGGCGATACCACCTCTTACAAACACCAGAGACCTTTAGCAGCTCAGGGAGGCACAGACAGGAAAAGATCCCCAAAAGCAGCTCATCCGGAAGGGAGTCCCATGAAACACCTTTGACGAGGGAAAACATGTTTGCCATCACCATTCTTTCACACTATCAAGTCTACTGAGTCTTTTCAATCACATAATCTACAACATTTAGCTTAAATGGGGAATTTAGTACAAATTAAATTACTCATCACCACAATTATCTTTCTGTTTAACACTCTCAGCAAATGAAAAGAGAAAACCAAGAAGACTTTTCCTATTCTTCTTCCCTTCAGTTCTAGCCGGCCAATCAGAGGCTGGGACATGTACAGTGGTGCAGAGCAAGACCCACCCTCTCAAGTGTCATTCAATGATGTCTAAGATATTGTGGTGCTCCTGGGTGCAAAGGAAGGCCTTGTTTCCCTCTGATGTAGACTCAGTAGTGATCTTATTTAAAAGGCAAATAAATCTTCTTCCCTTTCTGATATGGTTTGGCTGTGTCCCCACCCAAATCTCATCTTGGACTGTAGCTCCCATAATCCCCATGTGTTGTGGGAGGGACCCATGGGGGGTAATCAAATCATAGGATGGTTATCTGGTGATAACCACCCCTGTGATTTGATGCTGTTCTGGTGGTAAGTGAGTGAATTCTCACAAGACCAGATGGTTTTATAAGGGGCTTCCTTACCCACTTCACTGCGCTTCTTGATGCCACTATGTGAAGAAGGACATGTTTGCTTCCCCTTCCACCATGCTTGTAAGTTTCCTGAGGCTTCCCCAGTCAGTCTGAACTGGGATTCAATTAAACCTCATTCCTTTATGAATTACCCAGTCTTGGGTGTGTCTCTATTAGCAGCATGAGAACAGACTAATGCTCTTTCTTTCCGGTTTACAGAGAGCAGTTTACCTCAAAAAGCAATACAAAAGGGTGCTCTCATTTCTTAATTCAACAAGTATTTATTGAGCTCCTACTATGGTGCCAGGTATCATTTTAGGTGTTGGGAAAAAGCAGTGAATCAGACCTAAAACACTACCTTCATGGAGCTTCATTCCAGTGATGGAGAACAGACAATCACACATCAAAAAGTAAGTACATCATATGATATAGTAAAATTGATTTGAGCTGTGCAGAAAAATTAAACAGGGCAAAGGAGAGAGCAGAGAGTTAGGGCAGATGTTATTAAGTTTGAACACAATGGTCAAGGAAGGACTGAGATAACAATCACTAAGCAAAGGGTTGAACAAAGTGAGGGAGTGAGACCTGTGTGTATCTGGGGTGTGTTCTGGATGCAAGGAACAGCATATGTGTTTTGAGGAATAGCAAGGAGGCCAGTGTAGAGGATCAGAGTGAGCAAGGAGAGTGGTAGAAAAGAAATCAGAGAGCAGCCAAGTCATGCAGGCTTCCTATGTCATGAAAAAGCCTTTGGCTTTGACTCTGAACTCGATGAGGAGACAGTAGAAGATTCTGAACACAGGGACAACAGGCTCTCATGTAAGTTCAAAAAGGATCACTCTGGCTGCTGTGTTTAGAACAGGAGAAAGGTGGATGTAGGAAGATCAGTTTTATTTTTCATAAAAGCAATCTCTAAATAACTATTAAACAAGTATGAAACTCTTACATGTGAATATATAGAATAATCCCACAAGGTCAGGATAATATGACAACTGCCAAGAAGGAAATAAATGCACAATGAAGGATCCTGAAAAATGGTCAGATGAGTTCAATGACTACCTTCCTACTCTTTCCATCTCTGATGGATCTTCTACACCAATTCTGGTGATATCCTCTCCTTCCACTCCCATTTAAAGGTGCCAGTATTTACTGAGCATGTCAATTGTACCAGGTCCTGTGTAGGCGGGTTTGAGGACAAAAGGCAGAAAAGCACCAAGGAGTATGACAAATACCTGCTGCCCTGGGCAGACTTTCTAAACCACCATGTCTTTCTTTGAATTAGAATCCTTCGGTGGTACACCTCAGATATTTAGGCTAAAGTCCACAATGCTTAGTACAAAGTTAAAAGCTTTCAGCCAGGTCCCAACTTGTTTTTCTAGGTTTGTTATCTAGAAATGTGCTCCAGCTGTTTGAAGCTACCTGTAATTCTTAGAATGAGTCATTCTGTGTCATATCTCAATGCCTCTGCACATGCTGTTCTCTCCTCCAACTGCTATTCATTTAAAATCAAATTGAAGCCCCAGTTCCTACAGAAGGCCTCCCACGACATCAGCAAGGACAGGTCACTTATGTACCACAATTTCATTATTTACTTACTCATCTCTCTAGACTCCCAGGGCTCTTGAGAACAAAAACCCATTTTTTTTTTTTTTTCACAATTTGTTATTTCCAGGAACTAGCATAAAGTTGATGCATTCATCTACTCCCATATTTATAAAATACGTACTATACATGGAGGTCTATTCTAGGTTTTAGGGACAAAATGATAAATAAGGTACAAATGCTGACCCTTATTCTGCTCAGAGTTTGAGAGTTATAGTCAAACGAATAAACAGGAAATTTCAATAAACTATCCTGATAGGCCACAGTAGGATTCAGGATGCTGTGCAGTTTATGGGAATGGTGCAGGAGTTAGGGAAGCTTTCCTGCAAGAAGTGGTCTCTCTTGAAGAATGAATAGGAGATACACAATTGCTCAATTAATGCCTGTTCTCCTTGCGCACCCCATCCCCCCACTCCCTACCCTTCAGGGATCAAAATCAACGGACTGACTGAAACCCTGAAAGCTAAGTGTAGAAAGCTGAAGGCAGACAACCCCTGCCGACCTGGGGAGGCAGCTGGAGGTTGTGAGGAGGCTCCTCAATGTGGCAGCTGTTCCATGACTGCCACAAAGTTCCTCCAAAGTCAACATGGGCAGGGGACAAAGATTCTCAAACCAGGTTCTTGCCCTGCTCGCCAAATTGAAAACAAAGTTGAATGACAGGCTTTTCTCAGTTTTTCTCCCATTAATTCAACTCTCTCAGATCTCTGTTGCCTCTTACATATCTAGATCGGAATCTAGTAATTGAGCATAACTATATTTAGCTGTAAGTATAGTTATCCACTCACATATTTATTAAATATGTACTATACACTGAGGTCTGTTCTAGGTTTTGGGACACAACAGTAAGAAAGGTACAATCCTGACCCTTATTCTACTCAGAGTTTGAGAGATATAGACAAACAATTAAACATGAAATTTCAATAAACTATCCTGATGGGCTACAGCAGGATTCAGGGTGTGGTGCAGCATATGGGAATGCTGTAGGGGTTAAGGAAGCCTTCCTGGAGGAAGTGGCCTCTATGGAGGAGTGAGCTTAACTATACTTAAATAACATACTTAGCTATTTTGAATCTAATATGTTGAGATTTTACTATGATCTGTAAAAATCACACTGACACCATGAGCTTGGCCTCCTCAACATGTTTGAGAACTACTGGACTGAGAAAGCAGCACAGCTTTGACTTGCCCCAAGCCTGTGACTTGGGCACGTCACTTAATCTTTCTGGTCTCAGTTTCTTTACCTGTAGGAAAGGAAATTGACAGATTTATCTTACAAAATTGTTCAGTGAAGAGTAAATGAGGTACAAGAAAAGATTAAATAACGCAGTAGGGAATAAAACTTTCTTTTCTATGTTCCTCTCCTTTCCCACTTAAGTCTGCATATTTTCTTCATGCAATGTTCTTTCCTATGCTGCTCTGAGTTTTCACTCATGGGCAGACATTCAAGGTCTGAATAGGGTTTGGACAAGGTCTGCATGGTATGACTTACCAAACCCCATATCTGCCCTCTATTTAAGATTGGGTCTCCCAGAAGCAGATTCTGAAGATATGACTTCAAGCAGTTTATTTAGGAAATGATGCCAGGAAGCACTAGAAAGAGGAGAGGATAGAAGGTGGAAGGGAAGAAAGCCAACCTGGAGTAGGCTAATAAGCAGGTTATCACTGTAGGCAATTGGGGTTCAAAGCTTCTGTCAGTCACTGATTGGGGGTTCAAGTGCTGTCACTCGCTATTTGGGTACTCCCCAGCATTCCTGCCCAGAGAAAGCTCTAAGGCATGGAATCTCATCTATGTGTAGGCAAGAGCTTTGGCATGTATGGGAATGGTGGGCCTCAAGTAGTTATAGATAGGGCACCAACAGAAATTCTGGCTGGGGAGCTGGGGAAAGGAAATTAGAAAAGCTTGCTATGAAGTACAGGAGAAATTAATTTAAAAACTTGGTGCTTTCTATTTTATTAGGAAGACAAGAGAAATCAGGAACAAATAAAAGAGCAATAGCAGCTGGGTAATTAAATGCTAGAGGAAAATTTGGCATAATAATGAATGCAGAGGTCAGCAGACCTAACCAATGAAGAGCTGCACGTGGGACTCCAGAGTTTGGAGGACTTTGTGTTGCAACTTCCATCGTTGCATTCCCAACTCCTCCAGATTTCAGCTTAAATAGCATCTGCTCAAAGAAGCATTCCCACCCAGGATACCACCACAGACCCCATGCCCAGATTTACACATCCCTTATCTAACACAATGCCTGGCACATTAACAGGAATCTATAAATATTTGCTAAATGTATTTATTGTCCCCTTTAATGCAAATGGTGAATGTGCTAATTCTCTATTAGTGTGACTGGCCAACCCCTGTTAACCAATTGACAACTACGTGCACAGCACTGTTGGCATATGGAGGGGATGGGGCTGAAGACAAAAACCCAGAGCAGAAGGGAATGTCCTCTATCAGTATACCAGTAGTCTCTGGGAGATGGGGGCTGGGCTTCAAGAGAACATGAAACTATGACAAAAGAGACAAGGTCACACAATCAGTAAGTCACAGAGAGGGAATTCAAACTCAGATCTGACTTCAAATCATGCCCTTTCCATCCTAGCAGGTTCTAATATTCTGTGCTCTCCTCTGTTGTGAGTACAAATTTTGAAAAGGTGAGAATTAAACCCAACTTGCTATGGCAAAAGAAATCAATCAGGGCTAGAGAGTGAGTGGAAGAGGAGAGAGGAAATAAAACAAAGATGCTGAAAGATATCAACGGGTTCGCCACCAAACGGAAGCAGCAAGGGCCTAGAAAACGCAGAGCCTCAGCTA